GTAGGTTAGATTGTTTGGTGTAGGTTGACTGACATACTCATTCACATTTTTTGTGACTTATGGTTGAGCTATATCTGCTGTTCTTTAGGCAGGTTTCAGTCTTTGCTCTTTCCTGGTTCCAATAGATATGGAATGACCTCCTAAGAATTATATGCTCTTTCGTGACTGAGCTATCAGCATCCCTACGCAGATGTGTTGGATTTCCTAGTTACACAGTTTTTTTATCTTCTCAAATTTCGAACTTCGAACCTCTTCTAACAAGGAGGAGGGAAATACCACTAGACTAATATGGTTCTCTTTGGCCTGTACTCCTTTATTCTGTTTCTTTCTTTTTTGAGTTTGGAGAGTTGAATTTCCCCCACAAAATGAAAAAAAATGTGGTTTGTCTCGTATCCTCTGCTAAATTCCCTAGCTTTGTCAGGAAAATAGTGTTCTTGACATCTCTAGGAAATGTAAAATAAGTATTGAAATGGTCGCCATCATCATTAGAAGTTTGGCTTGACTCTTTGCTGTGGCTGTAAGCTGAATTTCTTTTTTATTTATTTTAAATTGAATGATTGTGGAAATGCGTTAAGTGAAAAATGGGTCGACTAGATGTTGCTGGGTTTCTAGTTGTTTTTATTATGATAGATAAATATTCAAGTTGCACAATTTCAGACATTTAGTTCTGTATGACGTCTTGATTCTTTGTGTGCTGTAATTCAATTAGTGGCCGGACGTGCTTGTTTCTGTGGTTCTTCATGTCTTCCGTATGTTCTTGTACATGGTGGCTGACAACCATTGCCTTATATACGCTTGATTTTCTGAAATTTTGAGTTACCCTCTTCTTCTTTTTTTTGTTCACTGCGAGTGAGTTTTTGGTGTTGAGGGTGGTGTTCAATTCGAGGGCCACAAGTGATGTAAGGAGGGAAATTGTGTTAACAAACCCCTGCCAGATGACCGACCAGCAGAGTGGTTATCGGGGTGCGGATCACATTTGCTGCATTGAAGCTCCCAATGCCTAAAAACAATGTCGAATGGTGGCTGCCAAAGGCATCATGATTCATGCTTGCCTTTCGGATAAATGATGCCGGGCGCTCTGTGTGTTGAAAGTTGTATAAAGTTAAATCCTTTGATGTTAAAATTGAAAATACTCTCTGTACGTGACCAATAAAAAGTTGATGAAAAGTGAAAATAATGGAGAATCAATATATCCCACTTTATTCTTGGTGCCTTTGTTTTATTTATGACGTCGACTTTGTTATCAATTGGCGACTTGGATAAGTATGTGGAAACTTGAAAGCCAATTTAGTCGGCCTCAACTCAACTCAGCTGCTTCAAGTTGGCATAGTCGTGTATGATATCTAACCATGACATCATAAATGTGCCTGTTCAATTAAGAATTGACCCCCCAAAAAAAGAGTAATGGCTATCCCAAAATGTCTTTTTCTTTCTTTACTAGTTAATACTATTTTTTAGTAGGGGATCAAACTTGAGTATAAGGAGACGGACACAATCTACTAGTAACTCCAGCCTTTCCAAAATTTCTTTAATATAAGTTACTTGACCTCAACTTTTCATTCAATTCAGAAATTCATAGAACGAGACATGCTGAATCATTCTAGCCATGCCAATTATTTTACTCTCCAACTCTTAAATCTTTAGGTTCTATGCAAAATCCCAAAACAAATATATATTTTTTTGCCGGAGTTAGGAGATGGGGTGGGGAACTCACACACACATGTACAATTTGAACCCAATATCATTTGGAAGCACACCTAAAATTTGGGCGACTAACACCCCCTTTTATTCTTTAATATTCTTTGGAAATTATGATTTTTTAAAAAAAAATAACAAGGGAACCTATAAGCCTTGTTATTTTTTATAAACACCTTGTTATCAGGTTGTAATAAATTACTGTCAACATGAACAGAATAAACTGTTAATTCATAGTCATAGCGGAATCAGATTCGTTAGAGGTTATGGCTTTTAATTCAAGTCGACTTACAAAGGCTACACCAGTCCAAGGTTTATGCGAATTTTTTTTTTTATTTTTGGGTCAATCAATGCGACTCTTTTTAACTGTCATGTTTTTTTAAAATCTTTTAATCTTCATGAGTTGAAGACTTTACGCTAACCGTGCGGCAGAATTTGCTTCTTGTTTAATTCATGTTGAAACTTCACAAGTTCTGTATGAAAGCCAAGAAGATGATACTTCCAATTTTTAATTTCAAATCAATTATTTTTTATATATTTATAGAAAGCGACAGATTTTATTCCATGAAGAGAACTAACAGAAACAAAAGTGGATTAAGGCTGAAAGGATTAGGCGAGCCTCTCTCCACATATAAAAGGGAAGTTGTCTCACTAATACATCCATTAGCTTACCCTAAATTATTTTACTTATTTTTTTTGTTGGAGCAGATGCTCTATAAAATAGATTACCCTCAATTATTTTACTTATTTTTTGTTGTTGGAGCATATGCTCTATAAAATAGAAGCACTCTACAAGAGTACAAAAGATAACAAGAAAACTATCCGAAACCCAAATGTGAAAGGCATGGATAATAGCGTAATCTTTAAAACTTACTCTCAATTATTGAGTACTAATTAAAAGTCACTTTCAATTTAAATATTTCAGATCAAATTATAGTGAAAAGGAAAACAAAATGTTATAATGCATACAATAATAGGGTCAATAAACTTTTGGTCATTGTCTTGTAACTTTTCCTATATCAATAAATAAAAAGGAAACCAAAAAAAAAAATATTCTCTTTAGAAGTTTAGTCGGACTAAAATTATACCTACTTATGTTTTGTAATTTTTAACTAAGTATTATTTGAGTAATTAACATAAGAAAGAGGTTCTTAAAACCCTGCCCACAGCCCTTCTTCCTAAACCTCTCTCTCTCTCTCTTTCTCTGTCTGTGTCTGCCATAACCAAAGGACCAAGTTCAACTCAGCTTACTGGTCACACCACAGGCTACAGCTTTCCGGTCCTGCCCACAGCCCTTCTTCCTAAACCTCTCTCTCTCTCTCTTTCTCTGTCTGTGTCTGCCATAACCAAAGGACCAAGTTCAACTCAGCTTACCGGTCACACCACAGGCTACAGCTTTCCGGTAATTCATCTCCTCTCCGTAATCCTCCTCTTCCTGCTGCTGTTCTTTTCTCTCTTCTTCTTCAAATTTCGTCTCTTTTTCACTCAATTTTTTTTTCTTTTTGGTTGATCATATTCTTATTTTGGAAAAAGTTTTTCTTTTTCCGAGCTATAATAATTAAGTTTGTGTATCTCTGTATCTTTTTATGTATTCAGAAGGCTACGGTTTATTTTTAAAATTTTTTTGACAATGATTTAATTGAAGTATGCATTGGGGTATTGAGGTTGAATTTTAGGATTGCCACAGAGTATGATCAAGTTAAATTGATCGCCTAATTGTGACAGTACCTAATTTATGTTTGAAAAACTCTGGTTTTGTTCTTGGGTTAAATGATGGAGGACGCATATATATATATAGCACAATTGTGACAGTACATAATTTACGCCGTATATATATTTTTGTTGAAGAGCTAGTGAACAGGCAAACTTCTTGAACTTGGGAACTTTGAAATCGAAGAAATCGAATAGCACAATTATGAGAGTGTTTGATTCCCCCCTGCATGTTTTTACTGTTGTGTGGTATGTGAACAAGTATTTTATATATTTATTCTACAAAATAATGATCCTCAAATAAATATACAAACATACAATCTCGGTAGTGATGGTTACCGTGGATATTTTCGGTTCACTGTGTTCTCCAGAATGCTAACCCTCAATTCCTTTAAGTGGTTTGTGTAGACCTTGGTTTCCTATTTCTGTACATCCAATCTTATTACATTTTTCATTCTTTTTATTTCCATCATAAATAATTTGGTTTATTGATTGATCGTTTCATGCATTTATTCACCATCAAGTGTAGTGCTTACTTTGATTCTATTTTCTAGTTGGTTTGACTTCAAAATATCGCATGTGGTGATTCTGTCTCCTGTAGTTTTTGGTATTCCATTTTACTGCAGTTATGGTGCTTCCCATAACCCGCACCTTAGCCTTTTGTGAACTTTTGTGCACAGTTTTGATTATACTTGAAAAATTTGCAATCTGTTACTTAATGTGAATGTATGGTGTTAGTACTTGTAAAACTCTGCAAACCCTTTGTATTTAATATACTGTGATATTCTATACAAAGCCTTGGAGGACACTGAAACTTTCTTGGGATTGCATGTATATTTTTTGGTCAGAGTATAACCTTTATGTTTTAAGAAATTCAAACTAGTCAATTTGATGGCTATTAGTTGCTGTTGTGTTTCTTGCGCTGGGATGTTAACTTGTACTGTCCTCTCTGGCTAATGCAAACCATTAAAGAGAATATCATTTGACTGGCTGTAGGTGAAGTTCAGAATTCATCATGGATTTAAAAAAACTCAAAGGTATGAATTGGGTTGGAAACATTTACCAGAAATTTGAAGCAATCTGCCAGGAGGTGGATGATATTGTGAATCAGGTATAATGAAAGAAAAAAAAAAACCCAAAAGAAAGGATCTTAAGTGCTTCTGGACTTCGATTAATTTTGTTGCTGCTGCTAACTAGTGACTGCAGCTGTCAATTCCTCTTGTAATATTCAATGATTTCTTTCACAGGATACAATTAAATATGTCGAAACCCAGGTGCAGACAGTGGGCAAAAGTGTGAAGAAACTCTGTTCTGATGTCGTCCAAGATTTAATTCCTCCTTTAGGGAATCCTGTTAATCATGACGCTCAAGAGGTGGCTATTACATATAATTCTGCCATTAGTACTAAGTCAAGGGAAGACTTAGAGGAAAATTCTTCGGATGAAATTGAAAAGCAATCACCTGCAGAGCCCAATGTAATGGATCCTGTGATAAACCAGCCGAGTCTTGTCTCTAGTAAATATTTCCTTGCAGATCAACCTAGTTCTCCAACATCAATGGATGGTTCTGAGGTGTTAGAGTCCGACGTATCTGTGGGAAAGATTCGTGAAGTTTTTTCAAATGAAAAATCTTTAGGTGCAACTGAAATGAAATCACCTTCAGAGCCCCATGTAATGGATCCTGTGACAAACCAGCCGAGTACTGTGTCTTGTAAATATCAACTGGCAGATCAACCTAGTTCTCCAACTTCAATGGATACTCTTGAGCTGTCAGAGTATGACTTGTCTGTGGAAAAGATCGATGAAGTTTTGACAAATGAAAAGTCTTTAGATGCAACAGAAGAATCACCTACAGAGTGCAATGTAATGGATCCTGTGACAAACCAGCTGAGTCTTGGCTCTAGTAAATTTTACCTTGCAGATCAACCTTATTCTCCAACTTCAATGGATACTCTTGTGCTTTCAGAGGCTTACTTTTCCGTAGAAAATCAAGAGTCTTTAGATGCAACAGATAATCAACCACCTACAGAGCCCAATGTAATGGATCCTGTGACAAACCAGCCGAGTCTCATCTCTTGTAAATGTCACATTGCAGATCAACAAAGTGCTCCAATTTCAATGGATACACTTGAGGTGTCTGAGTCCGACTTTTCTGCGAGAAAGATTGATGAAGTTTTGACAAATGGAATTTCTTTAGATGCAACTAAAAATCAATCACCTACAGAGCCCAGTATAATGGATCATGTGGCAAACCAGCTGAGTCTTGTCTCTTCTAAATATCACCTTGCAGGTCAACTTAGTTCTCCAACTTCCATAAATACTCCTGGGGTGTCAGAGTCTGACTTGTCTGTGGAGAAGATTGATGATAATTTGACAAATGAAAACTCAGATGCAAATAATGAAGAAATTTCCATAAAAATCCTGGATTTAACTTCTCCTGTTGTGTCAGAACACTTTACAGAGTCACCATTTCAGGTATTTGCTCACAGTAATTATGAAAACAGGCATACTTTTTTGCCTGAGGTTGCAACTATATCCCCAGCACATGGATTGGAGTTTGAATCCCAGCAAAAATCTACTGTTTGTTCAGATGAAATTTTGAGTGTTTCTGGTGCCTCAAATACTACTTCTGAAATGGCCTTTTCAGTTGTATCTGGGGAGGATACTATAGCGGAGATGGGAATTGCACCCTTCAGCAGCTGTAATGCAAAGGAATCACTTAGGCTCTTTGAATATTCACCTGAAAACTTATCCCTGGAAGCAATGTTTTCTCATAATTATGTTGAGGTGACTGGGTGTGTTTCTGATGTTTCTAATGAGATCCCAACATCTGTTTCACCCTTAACTGTGTCTGGTAAAATTAAGGATGTGGATATGGGACTTTCTTCATTCAGCAGTGTCCTATCACTGGAACCAGTTGGTTAGTATTTTTGGTTCTCTCATTGTAGAAGTATTCTTGCTTTTCCTTAGACAACAGGCATTCATTAACTTCTATATATTACAGAAGAAGGCACTTCCAGAATTACGTTGACCATGCCTCTGATAGTACCATCTGGAAAACAGCAAGTTCAGATCTGCGAGTCTGTTCAATTTGATGCTCTTAATTCCTTTTCAGATATTGGTATGTTCTAGAATGCATATGCGGCACTTTAATTTATTTCCTCTCTCATCTCTCACCTTTAAAACCCCATCGGCCAAAGTCTCGAGTCTTCTTTTATTTGGATTTTTTATCGTAGTAACAACAATAGTGATGAGATAATAATTCTTATGTTTCAATCTTGCAGAACCTCAATGCTAAGTATTATCTTTTAAGTGATCTAGATTTGCCCCATTTTGTTTTCCAACTTAAATGTTTGTTCCAGCTACTCCTCATTTTATCCCTCTTTGAGTTTCATTTCAAGCAATTAGATTCCTGAAGTTTCTAAACTGAGGGGGGCATCTGATTAATAACATAACAAGCTATAAGCCCAGAATCCTTTAGTAAAAGTAATTTGTAACATCATAGTCCTAACCACTTCTATTAGGTGTCTATTTCTGCTCTACAACCTCATTTTTTCATGGAGTATAACCACATGAGATTTGATGAAGAAGATTGCAATGCACCTTTAACATACACAAGTATGAATAAGAATGCCAAATTGGACCTGACCCTTCTTTATGACATACTTGAAATGCAGAACAGAGTACATAATGATGTTTCAATATATAACAATGCTGGCCATGATTTTATTTTGGTATTTTGACTCTACGACTGAAGTGCCCTCTTTGTGCTATTTTGCACATTGGTATACTTGGCAACTGAGGGAACTATTGTAAACCATAACTGTCCCTTGCGTCTGCTTTCTGTGATTTGTTTTAGATGCCACCTCTCTAATCTTGCAAAGTGTTTACAGGCCTTTCAGATTAATCAAGTTGTGATTTTTCTCACTCTAGCATGGAAACCATTGATTTGCATGATAAGGTGAAGCTTGAGGAGAGCTGTGTCATTGTAGACGATAGTGTACTGCATGCTATCTCTTGCAGAACAAGAAAACTAAGATCATACAAGGTATTCCTTCCACTTCTCCAATCCTCCCTTTCTGTTTAGGTAAATGAAATGTTATTTTAGAAAGGTTCTGCATATTGCATTTGTTATGAATATTAACATGATGGTGGCATGCTCAGTTTCATGTTTGAAGTGTTCTTACATAGTCTTAGTTAGAAGGCATAATTCCAGAGGGCATGTTAGGAAAGAGAAGCTGAAGGCTATAATAGCAGATGGTTCTTTACCATGACTTTCCATATAAAAAAATTGACTTTCTGCAAAGGAGGATTAATGTATACTGCACATCTCAACTCTGGCCCCAGACTTTCCAGAATCTGGCCTAGTTCAGGAACAAATCCTGGAGTTCTATTTTTTTTTTCATGGGAAAAATACAATTTATTTCCACTCTTTGATCACTAAATAGGAATAATTAGGTTTAGTGGGTAATTGAAGGTTGACTGTGGGAAGGTTCCTTCCTTGAATGGTGATGCCTGCTAATGGTCTGTCCAGAGTAGGTTAAGAATGTATTACATCTCCTATTTGCATGAATGATTACTTAGAAGATTCTCATTGGCTTGGGTGATGCTCCTAATATTAAATAGCTTCCTTGGGTTTAATTATGAAACAATTTATCCCTCTCGATAGCTGTCTCTGTATTTACATGGAACATTACCTGCATGAGAGCAGTTTATCATGCGACACCATGAGGTCAAAGAAGGGAGTGAGAGACAGCAGATAATTTTCCCCTTGTCTTTTGTGCCATCTATGCTTAAAAGGCTATTCCCTTTTACTTCTTTTCGCGCACTTTTTCCTTTCAATCCACTATTTGGGAAACATTTATAACACAAAATTGAGTTATATTTTATGAGTTTTAACTCCTGATTACAGACAGCCCTTTCTCAAATATTTGAAATGTTTTGTGTTGTTAATATCCTTGATTAATCTTTTAGCAATAAACAGACTGGTCACTGGTGTGAAGAGCTCGAACCCGGCATTCAAAATGCCCTTTTTGACATACACTGTGCAATCACAGCAAATTAGATCTGTTGAGTTTCAATCGACCCAATTGATCGCAATTTTCTTAATGCATGTTATATGGTTTTCACTTGTCCAAACATTACAAATTTCTATTGAAACCAATTAGAAAATAAAGAAGAACTACATGCATCATTTCAGACTGGCGTTTAAAATACTTCATAATATGGTTATGGATTCTTTCTTATATTAAAAAGGCATATTTACAGTGAACCCATAATAAAGATTTAGATTGCAGTCACCGATCTGAACTTTGCTGAGAATAAATGATTTATCAATTTTTTATATATAAATAAATTTCTTGTAAAGAAAAGAAACTAAACATGTTGCTTGAAGGTGATGCCATCAGAAATGTGAAACTGTATCAACAAATTATGTGCCTCATTAGCATGATGAGCCTGACTCTATCAATTTTTCATTTGCTTTGTTGTATACAGAAAAGAATCCAGGATGCTTTTACATCAAAGAAGAGGCTGACAAAGGAATACGAACAGCTAGCAATTTGGTTTGGGGACACTGATATAAATTCCAGCCAAGAAACACTCTCTAACATGAAAAATTTGCAAACTCATGATGCCTGTGACTCTGAATGGGAGCTCCTTTAAGTAAATGAACGTGTCCCTGTAAATAATTGGATTGGTTACAAGGCTGCTTGCCTTTGCAGGTAAATATGTTGGAAATAATACCATACCGAAGATTTATGATTGTGGATGATGCCACTATTTCGTTGTTGAAATACACAAAATAAAGAAGTTAACCTTATAGTATCGAGTTCTATCTGGTCAGTATTTGTTTCTTTCTGAGAGAAAGCTGCAATACTGTGATACCCTTGTGGTGCGTGGATTTTATCTTCTCTCACCAAATTAAAGTCGTTTGCTGTTTGAAGAACATACAAAAGAGTTGCGGATTTTATGTCTATGGTCACCAAAATAAAGTTGTTTTTCGGTTGAAGAAAAGAAAAAGAAGACCAAAAGTGTTAAATTAAATACAAGTTCTGTTGCAGGTGTCACGTCCTTTTCTTCTTCCTCGCAAAATGCTGCACTATTGATCCTCAATATTAACATACAAATGTACCTCTCATAGATTTTATCCAAGGCTCAACTGTTAAGTTCAACTTACAAAAGATTTTGATGGCTCTTTAACAAATGTGCATACAAAATCTCATTCCATGTATCAGGAACCCCAGGTAGGCACCAGTGAATGCAATCAGCAAAATTTTTAGGATCAGATCTTTGTTCCTTTGTCAAGAGCTTCCCCTTGCGTTCCCCGTATACTGATGTATGTGCGTCTTTTCGGTACTCTGACAACTGGGTAATGTTCAAAAATGTTACCTTCACTTTCAAATCCTGTATTTGGTCGTGTATCATTTCCATGATTTCCATGTTTGAACCAGTACCCCAATATGAACCTTGAATTGGGTAAGACTCGTTGAAGCAGTTCTCATCACTTCCAGCCTTCCATTCCCAACTCCTACAAAAGAAATTTCAATGATGCTTTCATGATTACAGAATAGTTAAGGACTTTTGCAAGCAGTAGTCTTATTTTCATGGGATTAGGCAGGTTTGATGAACTCGGTCTGAATTAGGCCTGCAGATTAACATAACTATTCCATAATTGTGAAGCATTTGGATTTAGCTGTCATTTGGGTTGCAAGGTTTTAGGACTTCAGTTTCTTCCTCCTTTTCTTTTTTGAAGATGTTTGAGTGGAAGTGTGAAACTCACCATAAATGTGTTGGAGACATACTCATGAAGAAGACCTTTTGTCTCTCAGGGTTGATGCTGGATTCCAACCATTCTGCCCAAGTTTGTAAGGCCAGTCTGTATGCTGTAGTGACATTATATTCTTGGACATCAGGAGATCCATATCTGGGGAAGACAAGCAAAACATAATTCATTGTCAAATCTCAAATCCTACTCTACTCTCGTCTCAAAATTCACTCAACAAGACTAACTTAAATACAAATGCCTTCAATTGGTTAACGCATTTCTAGTGACATTAAACGTTAGGTGATCAACAAATTTTGGCCATGAAATTTGCATTTAGGATTCAGGACCATCAACAAAGTGGAGATTGAATGTCACTAAAAATGCGTTAACCAATTGAAATCAGAACGATGAAATTATGACATAGGGGTGCCCTATAAATATGTCACTCACGTAGCATTGATGGTAGGCTTGTGCATCCACCATACATAGCTCTCGAACACCAAGATATCTACTCCTTCCCAGTGTTTTCCATGCTTAGCTATGGAGTCTAACTTCACCAGCCGTTTCAGTACTGTATGTTTTGTCGCATGGTCCGAAATCGACTCCACAATAAATGGAGCCCAGTAGTATTCAATGGATGCATCAAACTCCTGGGAAAGGGGAAAAAGAGTTTGCCTTAAAATGTAGGACACAATGAGAAGTTCCTAAGACCTGAAGAGCATGAGGGGGAGTCGAACTCTTACCTTAAGCGTGGGGTTAGTGTTTTAAGACATGAGCTTTAAGCCTCACTAATGAGAGGGTTATTTTGCATATAAAATGTTTAAGTTAAAGGCAGTAGAATGTTTACCTCAACTTTGAAGATCTTTCTGGGAGGGACCCTTTGGAGAGATTTCTTTCCTTGAGGAATTATAGATTGAACCATACAGACTAGGGATTCAAACTGCCCTCTCTGTACAGAGTCTCCAACAAACATCAGCCTTTTACCCCTCAAAATCTGCATTAGCTTCAATGGATCAAACCTGAATTCAAAGCCAAAGCCACTTACTAAAAAAAAATTGAAAAGCATGAGATGGTTCGACCCACATCCCATATAAAATGCTTGAAAACAAGTTTCTTGCCCAATTGACATGAATTAGGCATGAAATAAGTCCACTTTTTTTCCCAGTGAAAATCCAATTTCAAGATTAAAAACCATCAGAATAATTTCATGGGCCACTTTTGAAAAAGAAAAACAAAAAGGAAAATCAGCACCTCTTGTGATGTTTTCCAAAGAAATTTTCACAGCACATTAACTCTGCTTTTAAGAATGATTATTGCTTCATTGTTTCTTTCTTGGACTGTCATATTGTGCCCTTAGAATTTAGAATGCATGCAAAAGTGTAGAGTTTTTTACCTTGGGAGGTTGCAGTCATTAGGTTGCCACCTCCAATTCTTATAGTAAGAATCGGGCCTACCATTTCTTTGGCAAGTAACTTGCTTTACCAAGTAAGGACATCTCTCTTCTGTATAGTGAGGATGGGACACATTGTCCCACACCCATTTCCCTTCAAACACATCGCAACTTTCATCAATCCGGTCCTCAGGGGAAACAACAACTGCCGGTCTCTGTTGTTGACCTCTTGGCCTGCCATATAGCTGAAAGACAAAGCTGTCATTGCTCTTCAAGGCGTCGAGGACTAGTCGTGCAGTCCCAAGTACAAGCAGAGAAGCCAACGCAACCGGGAAGAGGGATTGGATTCGACGGTCAAGAGAGAGCTGCTGCCTTGTCATTTGGGGGAGGTGATGAAGATGATGGCTATGGTTTATGTTTGATTGTTGAAAGACATTTTCTTGGTGAAGTATTTGAACAGGGTACCTTGAAGTTTAAGTCTTTTTGGTGAAGTGACACATGCAACCACCAGTTGGTAGGATCAAGATTTTTTGGTATGTCTCATTTTAAATTGAAATAAGGTTGTTGTTCTTTTGAACTCCTATGTGGGCCTTCAGATAGTAAACAATCTTCTTGATGCCATAAGTGATTTTCTTCCCACTATGTTATTTTTTTATTTTTCAATTAACATTAGTTTTCATTGATGAAGAGAGGTGGCATGTTAAACTCCCTAAGTTGGAGCACATCATCAGTGGTTGTTGATTGTAGGCCCCTTCTGTTTTGACCATGTATCCTTCATATGGAGAGAAAGTCTCATGCAATGTTGGCTATTCCCGTCAATAACATAAGGACAAGTGGGATAACTTTTTTATGTGTCATTGTGCTATTTGTCAGGAATAGCAACACCGTGTTATTCCCATCACAAGAGAGTTTTCTTCCTTCATAATGATCAATTATGCAATGTCTTGGGGCAAAGACCTTTCTGAAATTGGAGAAATTATTGTAAAATATTATAACACAATTCCTTCCCGTATTATAATATGGATAGATAATAAAATTCATAATTTTTTATGCAGACAAATTATACCATGTAGCCGTATATGTCAGAACTCTAAGGGCTCGTTTGGTACACAGGACTGTCTCGGCATGGACTATGCTTAGGGACTGTCTTGGCTTGGCTTGGCTTGGTCTAAGTTGGATAACACTTATCCTACGTTTGGTGTACGCTTGGACTAGGACTATATATTTTTTTTTCCTTCAAAACTATCTATGTATATGTATGTGTACATATGTATTTTATAATATATGTGACATGTATGTGTATATACATGTATACATGTGGATAAGGGAATAACTGTATGTATATATACGTATATATATGTATTATAATATATAATATATAATATATATTACATATATACACGTATGCTATTATTATAATATTAATATGTATATGTGTATATGGGTATATTATAATAATAATATACATGTATATATGTATATGTATATTATATATATTATATATGTATATATGTGTATGTATATCTATACATATATACATATATGATATATTTATGTGTATATACATGTATATATGTACATTATAGTATATGTGTAAGTAAGTTTAATAATAATAATATATGTTATTAATTTTACAATATAATATATGCATTTTATACATTGGTGAGCATTAGGACTAGCTAATCCTCCATTTTCACATGAGATTAGTAGTCCCCTCCTAAGGAGGTGTTTTTGATGGGCCCGTTATTAGCAATCTCATCTAAGACTAGGATTAGATAAAACAAACATGGTACTAAATTTAGTCCAAGCCAGTCTAAGCCAATCCTGTGTATCAAACGAGCCCTAAACACAAAAAGAGGTCTTAATTGAAAAAAATGTAAAAAAGCAAAACAAAAAAGACAGAGAGAAAAGGGTGCACAAATATCAAAACCCCAAAAAAAACCCCATAACCTCACTTTAATCCATTTCGCCCATTGGTGTTTACAAACACTGAGAGCTTGAGACCCAAAACCCCTCCCTAAACCCAGACGGACAAAATAACAAAGCACAAAAACAATCCAATCCAATCCAATCCTCTCTGAGCTCTCTCCCTCTCTACCCAAAACATGATTATCAGTAGTAGTTGCGTGCGTACATTTTGCCCGCGCCTTCCGTCGTCGTCGAAGAAGCATGCCCTCTGGACGGCTGCACTGGTGACTTTCACTATCCGCCGGCGACGTTTGAGCACCGCATGCTCAGTTTCAGCCACGAAGAGTAAAGAGAAGGAGAAGGTGATAGTCGTATCTGGGCCCACCGGAGCAGGGAAGAGCCGCCTGGCTTTGGAGCTCGCTAAGCGGCTCAATGGCGAGATTATCAGCGCCGACTCTGTTCAGGTTTTAGCAAATACACAATACCCAGTTGTTGGTTTTTGTTGTTCTCTGTTTGGGTGCTGAGAAAAAAAAGGGAAAGAAAATGTAAAAATGTAGCTTCTTTCAAAGAAAGCAGCAGAGTGGT